TCCACGTAGATCTAGATCAAGTATATGATCAACTATCACCTCCTCTTCTAGCTTAGTGAGCTTCTTTGAGTTAGGCTAGCAATCGCGTCGAGCAGGTATACCAGCGCGTCGGCGGCGGATTGTTCGTTCAGACACGTTGTAGACAGCAGCAGCGCGACGATTACTTTGTGTTTGATAGAGATTAATAGAAGAAATAGCAAGCTAAATATCTGCTTCATTTAAAGCTAATTGAGTAGCGCTACGTTGAGCCATTGTTCGTTGAGATAGGAGAGGTGCGCAGGTTTGGTGGGGTGCGGCGCTCGCTTACCTGCGGCGCTCGCTTGCCACATACGTTAGCCAGAATAGTTATAATAATCATGATCAAGGAAAATCGGGCCTGGTCTTGATACATGGTATTACGAGGCTGTCATCTCACGCCCACAACACCGAATCAACTAATATCAAGACCCAATCCTGTAAGAAGAGAAAAACACAACAAAACAAAATACATGACTCAAGACCAAATCGTAGAAAAAAAACCCCCCCGTAATACATCACTTTGGTTCCATCATTCAATCAATCAATCACACCCTCTCACACACACCGTCATCAAGCATCCTGCGTCCTCTGCAGAATGACCTTGATCATCTCATTCCCCAGCTTGGTGGCCTCGGGGAACCTCGGCTCAAAGTACTTCTGGATCTGCTCAAACTTGTCTCTGTAGCCGTCAAAGTTGCCGAGGCTGACGCGCGAGCTCCAGTCGCGGGCTGCAAACGTAAACTCGAGATCGTCGGCGCGGAACGTGTTGTCGTTGATGGCCGTGTCGATGGCTTCCTCGAGGAGCGTCGGGTTGCAGAAGAGGTATTCTGTGATGCCGAGCCACATGCGCGAGGGCTACAGACACACACACACACACATCTGTTAACCGAATGCTGCGACTGATGCGAGTGGTGGTGGTGGTGGTGCTTACAGGAGTAGAACAGATCATGTGATCATAAGGCACAATGCCCAGCTTCCACCAGCAGTCGACCATGGCCAGCAGACTGAGATGGTTGTTCTTCAGCTTCTTCTCTGGAATCGTGCCCAGCGCGAAGCGGTCCAGCAGGTCGTCGCGCAGCAGTAGCTTCTTGTCGCCTGGATTCTCGCCAAACACGGCCTTGCGCGCCGTGTACACACGCTCACGCAGCTCGTCGCGCTGCCCGGCGAGCATGAGTTTGAACAGCTCCGTGACCGACTCGGCATACTGCTTGATTTGCCTGCGGGCATCGGGATTGAGAATGGCAAGACCAGCGTAGACGTGCCACTTGTTGGAGTAGATGCGGAGGGTAATGTTCATCTTGACATTCTCGATACCGCCCACATAGCGGGAGCTGTCCCATGGGTACTGGTTGTTGGCGAACCATGCGCCGCCCATGCTCAGAAAGGCGGCATGCGTCACAGCCTGCGTGTCTGCTGTGATACGATCGTGCTGCTCAGCAGAGAGATAGACGTGCTTGGACCCGAGGCAGGACATGACCTTCTCCACAAAGGCAAAATCCTCATCCGACGCGCGGTACTTGATCAACACCAGCGGCTGTCCCTTTGGGTCGATGCCCGGCCCATGGAGAGAGTGCACAGAGACAATGCTGACATCTTTGGGAAGATGGCTGTTGAAAGCATCCATCTCGGGCGCTTTACACGACGTCTGTCCTCCGACTATGGCGCCGACCTTGGTGGCTACATGCAGTCCCGTTAGTCCACACACATGTCAGCAGCAGCATATCATTCATACAAGGACCGAAAGCTTTCACGACGGCGTCAATGTTTCTCGCCTCAACATTGTACAGGATAAAGTCGCTGCATCGAGACACGAAATGGCCGTTTTGCATGATTTCAACCTTGGGCTGGCGCAGTCTCAGCATGCGTTCATTCAGTGAGTAACATATATAAAAGTGCTATCCTACAAAGTCCTTGAACTCTTCTACCAACGTATCAAACTTATCCGGGAGGTCGCAAGCGTGGACCCTTGGAGGCACCATGTTAGTGGAATAGATTATTGCATGTCATCTGTGAGCCACTGGTTAGCAAAGTCCGAGCCAAACGTGTGAACAATGCGGCAAAGATTGCGTGTAGTTCAGAGGTGTAATAAATAAGGTAGCGAGAATTCACATCATCGACGGCGCCATGCCCAGATGCTGAAAACCAACACGGCGTCAGCGTGTTCATGGCGCCGTACTCGAGCCAAATGCACTCACGGTCATCATAACGGGGGAGAAGAAGCAGAAAAGGAATCAAGGACTTACCAGTCATAAAGCAGCGCGGTTGGTGCTGTCGGGCGCGCGGGTGCACTCACTTCCAGCCAGCGGTGCTGAGGCAGCGGGCATACATCTTGCCCATGTCGCCCATGCCAATGAGGCCGACACTCTTGCCGGCTTCCATGATTGCAGATGAGTCGCACGCTGCTGTGCCTGTGTGTCGTGGTCAAGTTCAGCCCATGGCGAAGCAATGCCAGGAGCTGAGGTGTCTCGCAGCCGCAGGAGAAAAGTCCAGTCAGAGGCTTGGCGCGCTAGTCACGGCGTTATGTTCCTCCGCGCACAACCGAAATCTACCACCCACCAAAAGTTCGACCTCCAAGATCGCCGACCGCATCACGAACCCGCCAGCCCCCGTCAAGCACGCATATACCGCCAAAATGCCTCCCAAGCAGAAGGTCGCCCGCGCTCCCCAGGAGAACATCCAGCTCGGACCCCAGGTCCGCGAGGTGCGTCGCGACGAGACAATTGGGGAAAAAGCAGCATAAACTGACGACTGTATAGGGTGAGCTCGTCTTCGGTGTCGCCCGTATCTTCGCTTCTTTCAACGACACCTTCGTGCACATCACCGATCTGTCCGGCCGCGAAACCATCTCCCGTGTCACTGGTGTAAGTGCAGTCCAGAGCACTCGAGGCGACACAGACTGACGAGTACAAAAGGGTATGAAGGTCAAGGCCGACCGTGACGAGAGCTCTCCCTACGCCGCCATGTTGGCAGCCCAGGACGTTGCCGCTCGCTGCAAGGGTAAGTTGTGCGGTGTTTGCTAGGATGTGCATTGATTGACAAGCGCAGAACTCGGCATCACCGCTCTCCACGTCAAGATCCGAGCCACTGGTGGTAACGGCACCAAGACGCCCGGCCCCGGTGCCCAATCTGCTCTCCGCGCTCTTGCCCGTGCTGGTATGCGCATTGGACGTATCGAGGACGTCACTCCTACTCCTTCCGACTCTACCAGGAGGAAGGGTGGTCGCCGTGGTCGTCGTCTCTGAACATGTGCGCAAAGTGTTTTGCTCCGTGGTGGAATATGGCATGGCATGGTTTGCACGATTTATGGTTTCATGACCACGATCAATAAAGTCGCGGGGAACGGCGAATCTGCCTGGTCTCCATGTTGAACTTGGCTTCTCGTGCGGGATAGTCAAGCTAAATCAACAGAATCCTTTTTAGTTCGAAAAGGCTTCCCGACAATGAAGTGCTTACTGCTGTGTTGATCAAAAAGGTGTTTATACATTACGATTACGACTGATTCTGGTAAAACTGTGACGGGCAATGTTAGATGTCGACGACTTGGATCGAGTTGCCCAGCTGTCCCGTGTCTTGACGCATCTGGGCTGCATTGATCATGATGGTATTGGGGCTCTGGCCTCCCCACACACGGTCCCACAGTAGTTCTCTCACGCCGCGGTAGACAACGCGGACGACATTCCACCATAGTTTTGGATTCAGCACGCCGCGCGTCCAGGTCGACTGCATCGAGAGCCCGCGCACATAGGCATCGTGTGCTTTGTCCCACCATACCACGGTTTGCCCAGCCCCCCAGTGTACATGACCAAACACGTGCAAAGTAGGCTTCACGCGCTGGACTTCGGCGAGCAGGTGCTCACACCCTATGCCCGTTGGTAACGACAGGTCGCGGTAGAACTTTGGTGGTGTGTGCGTGATGAGAATGTCTATGTCCTCAGGTATAGTCTCTGACCAAGCATCCTGGCCTCGCTCGTACTGGAAAGCGTGGACACTCATGGGGCCGCACGCGGGTATCTGGGGGGCGCCGTAGATGCTTATGCGTCTGCGGTTCTGTTCTGCAGCCAGCAACGGCGTGGCTGTATCAGGGCCATTGCGATTCCTCGGCTCGACCTTGATTGTGAGGCTCAGACGACGGTGCTGCAGGTAATGCACCCTCTTCCAGTCAATCCTGCCTCTCCTCTGCTCCTCCGACAGCGAAGGGCGCACCCTCGGATCCAGAAACGTATCATGATTGCCACTAATCACCACAATCTCCTTGTGCGGCAACGAGCTCAGCCAATCAATCTGCCTTTGTATCTCTGCGACGCTCCCGTCATTCGTCATGTCACCGGCGTGGATGAGCACATCGCCGTCGGGAACATGTTCGGGAATCTGGTTGTGGGTATCCGATAGGCAGACGACGCGTATAGGCGATGTATGCGAGGGACTTGGTGTGGAATGCAGGGAATTGAGCAAGTGGTATGCGTGGTAGAGGAGCAGCTTCACGGGCGCTTGGAAGAAGAGGGCTGCGTGGGACGGAAGGTCGAATTCTGATGGAGGGCGGTACCACGGGTTGAGGTGCTCGAGAAGCATTGCCGTGGGGCTGTGGGAGAAGGCGTCGTCACGTTTGTGACTGGTTGTTAGGCGGGACTTGTCGCGGTGGTGAGTAGATGAATGATGGAATGATGCGCGGACAAGGGTCGGAGTTCCCCATGGCTCTCTAGCGTGGCTGCGTGGACCGCGGCTCTCGTCGAGGCCTCAATACCCCTCAGTCACCATTGGCGCCCCTCGTGAGGACAAGAGAGGGCGTGAAAGGCTCATGGCTGCCGTTTGCGCGCTTGAATGCAGCATGAGGCGCCATGGCCATATGCTGCTAACCAGGCTCTACTGCCATTGTCTGCTTCGTTGTATTCGAGGTATCTCGGCTACCACGATGAACGGCTTTTGTTGAACCAAAAATCTAAAAGGGTATTCACAAAAATCACGAAACAAGAACAGAAAACCCGGTACTCATCTAGCTGACCGACCAACATGTATGCAAAGCTCCTGGTACTGTATGGTCGCGGGGTCTATAGTGGTCCTTACCATGGTAAGCATTGAACATTACGGGTACAATAGGATACAAACGCAATGCAGCCTCATGTGAATTAGTATTGCGGAGGCGCTACGATACGGTTGATTCGGACCTCTCAAGGGGAGACACTCGTAGTATGCTGTTGCTGAGGCCACACATTGTCAGGCTGGTGGGGTGTGGTGTGAAGATTTGTCATTGTATCGAAGAGAGTCCTCCAATGCCGCTATCTCATGCGTCATCATTCATTTCTATGTCCTCGTGTCATTCCTCCCTATGATGCCGTCGGCCGCTCCTCAGGTGGAGGGTATGCAAATATCCTTAACGTCCAAACTGCTCCAAATCAGAGAAGGCTTTACATGCCGTGCTTCTTCAGGTAGTCTCCGAGCTCAGCAACCGAGGAGAAAGCGTTGGTCGTCTGGACGGTTTCGGGGTGGTGGGCAATGATGACGGCCTGGCCAGTCTTGAAGGCGACAACGCCCTCTTTGCCCTGGTGCGGCTGTCAGTACTCGCCCCGACGGGCAGTGCCTTGGGAGCGTACCTTCTTTGCCTTGAGCGCATCTTCGCTTGACTCGATGGTCATGTACTTTACGCCGTTCACCTTGATACCCTCGGAGATGACCTTCTTGGGCTCGGACTTGTCGTTGAAGGATTTGGCAATGACGGCCCTCTCCTCATCCGACAGCTGCGAATCGTCAGCATCTGACTGCATTGCCGGCGTCCGGGGAGAGAGAGGGTGTGTGTATGTGTGCGTGTGGTTGATTGCCCCTCATGTCAAGCTGACGATAGCTGTTGTGCCCCGCGGGTGCAGGGCCGGACGACATACCGTGAAGTCAGGGGACGCGGCCCAGTTGGTTGCGCCTTCGACATCGCAGATGAGGGCCTTGTCGATGTTGCCGGTGCCGACGAGGCTGGACGAAGGGGTTAGATGTGCGGCGTCATCAAGACGGTACGGGGTGCGGCATACCTGGTGTCAACGTATGCTGGCGGCTGTGTTAGTCGGCGCGGGCGTCTCGAGCTGGTGCCTTACTCACCTTGCCAGGACATGTTTAATGGAGGGGGTCGTGTGCGTGCTGCGGGAGCTGGGCGAGATGAGAAAACTGACAGAGGCAAGACAGCGTCGATGCAGGTACCTTTTGACTAGTCACAACAAGAGAGCAGATGCGGTGAGAAGGTTTGGTGCTGCGTTGTTGGGCTAAGTCGCGATTTGATAGTGGGGCTGTTTTGACCCCGCCTCTGTCAATGAGAGGCGGCGGACGCCATTTCACGCTTCCCGTTTCTGACATGCAAACCACCTGGCCTGGCCTGGCATTGCATTGCATTCTGGCAACCCGGAGCCGGCCCATTTGTCACGTCACGCGTTCCATGTGCGCCATCATGCGGCTGCTTATCGTGTGGGGGGCCGACGCTGCCCTTGGCCCTTTGCTCGCCCGCCGCCTGGCAACCCACGGGCACAGCAACCAGCGCCGAAGAGAGCGAGAGAGAGAGAGAGGGAGAGAGGGAGAGAGCACCAGGCCGGCCGCGATACCCGCCTGCCCAGTGGCCGGCCGCGCCCATGTGCCGCTTTCTGGGGTCGGAGCCAGCGAGCGCAGCATGGTGGGGGACTGCATGTCTGTATGTGAGAGTAATAGCGTGACATGGCCACGGCACCCACAACGGGCCCTCGGCTGCCACGCAAAACTCTGCGCTGGAGACAGCACGGCGCGCTCTGGAGGCGCGACTCCACACTCGGACAGACGAGGCCGTTACTGCACGCCTACAGTATGTACGGATTTGACGTGGACGTGTACACGCCCACTGCTGGCCCCAGCCCGCCTCGTTGACTCGGCACCGTTGTGGCGCCTGTGCCTGGTGTCCTGGCCGTTTGCGGTGCGGGTGCGCCCGTCACGTGCCCACGCTAGGGCGCAGGTCGCAGCCGGACGCCCATCGCCAGAAAGTTGCAGTACGCGTAAAGGGCCCCGAGGCCGAAGCGCTCCCCCACACGTCGAGCCGCACATTAGCTACGCGCCGCCATACAAACCCCCGCCGCGACCGCTGCGCCCAGCGAAACAAGCCAAGCCATGCCGTCCCGTTCGCCGTCTCCAGCGCGCTCGCCATCGCGCACGCGCAGCCCATCTCGCGACAGGTCGCCTACCAGATCACCCAGCCGCTCCCGCTCAGCACAATCAGCCTCCCCGCGCCGCTCAGCCTCTCCACCGTCACCCACGCGCTCCCGCTCCCGCTCCCTCACCCGCTCCCGCTCGCCCCGGTCGCCGTCTCCCAGGCGCAATGGGCGCCGCAGCTATACGCCAGACAGCAGGTCGCGCTCACGAGGGAGGAGCTACACCCGCAGCCCGACCCCGAGAGACGGCTCGCCAGCGCCCAGGAGTGCAAAGGTGAGCACTGCAAGCCGCCGCACCCAAGCTTGCTCCGGCCTCAGCCTTGCCTGCCAATCGCTAATGCTCCCTCCAGATTGTAGTCGAGGCCTTGACCAAGAACGTCAAAGAAGACCACATACGCGAGATATTTGGAAAATACGGTGTCATCAAGGATGTCCGCATGCCCATGAACCCGACTTGTACGTAGGAGCTTGTAGTCGCGCAAGCGTCCGACTCACTGTCAACTAGTCAATATCAACCGCGGCATAGCATACGTCCTCTACGAAGAGGTTGACGACGCCGAGCGCGCCATCGCCAAGATGCACGACGCACAGTTGGACGGAGCCAAGATTCAGGTCTCCATCGTCCTGCCCCGGCGCCGCTTTTCGCAAACGCCTCCACCAGCGCGCAGAGGCCCACCCCCGCGCGATAGGTTTCAGGACGACTTTGATAGTGGATATGGGCGCGGTGGGCGGGGTCCGCGGGGAGGAGGACCGCCTGGCGCATACAGACCACCGCCTATGGACGGCCCGCCGCGTTACCGCTCTCCACCGCGCCGAATGTCGCCAGATCGAGGACAATGGGGACGGGGCAGAGGCGGCCGTGGTGGACGGGGAGGCTGGGGAGGACGTCCGCGGTCATACACACGTTCTCGGAGCCGCTCGCCGCGGAGGAGCATTTCACGCTCTTCTTACAGCCGGTCACCGTCCAGATCGCCTCCAAGACGAGGCTACGGCCGGAGAGACAGCCCGCCACGGCGAAGCGGCCCTAGCAGTGGAAGCGGTGGAGGCAGGGGAAGGAGAAGCCCCAGCTATAGCTCCTACGGCAGTGACCGCAGCCCAAGTAGGGAGCGCAGATGAGCCGCTTAGTGCTTACACTACGGTATCTTGGAAATGGTATCGATACAGAAAGCTGTCGATACATGAGTGGCGCATGCAAGGGTTGGCCGCCTTTAGAATGTACTATTATCCATGTCATCTGCCGTGACGTGAGAATCAACAACTCCATCACAAGGTCCTGTATTCTGTTCAGACATCAAGTCATCTTCAACTGAAATCCTGCGCCCTTTTCCTCGTCTTCTCTTCCTCTGAAAATACTGCTAAAGTCCAGATTGCCCTGCATGCCTGGCGCCTCGCCTCTCTTGGGCGCATTCGGACTCTTCTTTCGCCTCCTCTCCTGCCCCGCCTTACTCGGGAATGTAGGAAACATTTCCGCTGGTTTGGGCTTTGGCTGCTCCTTGAAGTAAGCGTGTGCCAGGACCTCGTTCGCCGTGGGTCTATGCTCCGGGTTGAGCGAGAGCAACGATGAGAGCAAGTCGATACCCGAGGCCGTGAGAAAGGGGAACTTGGCACGATTGAAAGCAGGGGTGTTCCTGTGCTCTCGGGGCAGTTTCAAGCTCTTTGCATTGGGCAGCCGGTAGAATTGCGGCCATGTTTTCTCAGACGGCAGGCCGCAGAGGGAGAAGATGAGTGAGAGCTCGTCGACTTCATTCTTGCCTTGCAGCAACGGCTCCTTGGCAAGTAGTTCGCTGAATATGCAGCCTACGCTCCACATGTCGACTTCTGTGCCGTAGTCACGCGTGCCTAGCAGCAGTTCTGGCGCGCGGTACCAGAGCGTTACTACCAGCTGTGTGAGAGGCGCGTTGGAAGGCGGAACATATCGCGCCATGCCAAAGTCGGCAATCTTGAGCTGCCCCCGATTGTTGAGCAGAATGTTCGACGTCTTGAGATCCCGGTGCATGATGAAGTTCTCGTGCAAGTACCCCACGCCAGATACCAATTGCCGTAGTAGCGTCTTGACCTCTGATGCCATGAACGGCTCGCTCATGTCTTCCTGCAACGTCTTGAGATCGTGTTCCAGGAACTCCATGACCAAGACGCATTCTTGAGGATCGTCTCCTGCGAGTATCTCATGGAGATTGACAATGTTGGCGTGGCGGCAGCGCTGGAGAATCGAGATTTCGCGTAATGCGGTAATGGGAAACCCGTCTTGGTTATAGTCCATTTTGACTTTTTTCAGAGCCACGACCGTATCCGAGGTTATGTCGCGTGCTCGTGATACCCAGCCGTAGGACCCTTCTTCGATCTGGTTCAAGGTTTCAAAGTTGGATGTGTGGCGACAGGAAGTCCAGCCTCCGCCTTCGAAGCGCAGTAGTTTTCTTTCTTCTTGGGCTTCTCTTGGTTTGGCGTCTGCTTCATCATCTTCGCCTGCCGACAGTCGTCGACGCTTCGCCGGCCGCGATTCTGTTTCTTGCGCTGCGCGTGCTGCCGCCTCTGCCTCTTGTTGTTTTTGAAGTTTTAGACGCTTCTTCTCTTCTTTTTCCTTCTTTCGACGAAGCTCTTCGGCCTTGTCTGCTTCGTCGTTTGCCCAGCGTGATGCCATTATTCCTTCTCTTTTTCCACGGTACTTCTGATTTGCAGGAACCGACTTGCTATTTTCAAACCCTATATTTGCACGAGACTTGCTAAAATATTGGGGAATATGATTGATGTCCAGATCGGAGCGTCGGAGACAGTAGTCGCAGGTGGTGGTGGTGATGATGGTCATAGCTTCGTTCACCTCGGCGTTCCGATCGAAACTTTCCTAGTTCCGAATGCGCAGACGTCATGGCACAACGATAGAGCATTGCGACATGAGGACTCCGTCTATCAATTTACTGCGAGCAGCGGCGCAGACCGGTCGTTCAGTTTCGCGGCCAATTGGACGCCAGGGGACAAAATGCGCTTCTCGTTGGTCGTCCACTTCGACTTCTGCAGGCTCGGAAAGGCAGTGGTCAACGCCTCTCGCAAAGACGCTGGCTGAGGCCATCACTGTAGGCAACCAATTCGCCCTGCCGCATATAACGGTCTAATCGATATTTCAGACGACTGGTCCGATCTCTGTAGCTGCCTACATGCGACAATGCCTCACGCATCCCGACAGCGGTTACTACACAAGACAAACCACCGGCGGACAGGATCAATTCGGAACCAAGGGCGACTTTGTGACTTCGCCAGAAATTAGCCAAATATTTGGCGAATTAGTCGGAATATGGGTATATGCGGAATGGCTGGCGCAAGGAAGGAAAGACAAAGTGCAGATTATCGAGGTTGGCCCTGGACGAGGAACGTTGATGGACGATGTGCTGAGGGTATGGCAAACACCGAGTGGAGGGCCCGAAAAAGAAACTGACAGGGCATTAGACGATATCAAGCTTCAAGACTTTCACCAAGAGCATCGAAACCATCTATCTCATCGAAGCATCACCCTACCTGCAGAAACAGCAGGCAAAGCTGCTTTCTGGGACCGACGATCTTACCAAGAGCGATATTGGCTTGACCGCACCGTGCAAGTACATTCCAGGCTGCAAGATTGAGTGGTGTGAAGATATCCGGCTTGTACCCAAGGGTATGTTTCTAAACCCTCTTCCGATGAGAGCACCTGTTTGATGGACTACTGACAATGTGCGCAGAAGCTACGGCGACCCCGTTCATACTTGCTCATGAGTTTTTCGATGCTCTCCCGATACACGTATTTCAAAATGTCGCACAATCTTCAATACCCGCTTCGTCCACTATCATTACGCCGACAGGCCCTATAAAACCTAAGCACGGCGTAACGACCCCCCAGAACAACTGGCATGAGCTTGTTGTGTCGCCAACTTCCCCATACACAGATGCGAACACATCAACTTCAAAGAAAGACACGGAGAGGCTCGATTTTGAGCTGACTGTCTCGAAGACACCAACACCACATTCGTTGTACCTACCCAAGCTCTCAGATCGTTACAAGAAGCTGGAGAAGACGCCCGATGCGATTATTGAAATCTCACCTGAATCGCTCGCCTATGTTTCTGACTTTGCTGTGCGGATAGGTGGTAGTAATATCAAAACCGACAATACCTCAGCACCGGCTACTCAGCGCAATCGACCGCACCATGACGAGGAAAACTTCACAAAGTCACAGCCGTCTGGCGCAGCCCTTATTCTCGACTATGGCCCTCTAGACACCATTCCGGCAAACACGCTTCGCGGAATTCGATCGCACACTACAGTCTCACCTTTCGCATCGCCGGGTCTGGTGGACCTCTCGGCCGATGTAGACTTTCTCGCTTTGGCAGACTCGGCCTTGGATGCCTCTCCTGGCGTTGAAGTTCATGGCCCCGTTGAACAGTCTTTCTTCCTGTCGACAATGGGCATCAAAGAGCGAGCTGACCGCTTGCTCCAGGCAGCAAAGGACGACGAGACGAAAAGGCGCCTGGAAACAGGGTGGAAGCGGCTCGTTGATAGAGGCCCGAACGGCATGGGTAAAACCTACAAGGCCATGGCCATAGTGCCGTATAAGACGCAAGGCCCGGTTCGACGACCAATTGGGTTTGGCGGGGACCTTGTTGCATAAGAGTAGCATAGACATTAGCCAAACGACTTTGACGGTCTTGCTGTTGTGCAATGAGAGCAGCTGCAAGGACAGCGCACGATGGAGATTTCATGGTCTCTGTGCACCGCAGCTTCGTAGCTTATTACCAGAGTCGTGGCACTCGTAGACTTTTTCTTTTTCTTTTTGGAGGCCTGGTTTCTTCGGACCTGATCATATTGCATGTGACAGTGGTTTACCGTGAGCTACCAATCCCAACCAAACAGCACGGGTTGTGCACCATGACGGATGCGAAGTTTGTTTCTTTTCAATTCAAATAAAAACATCGAGCTGCACAGTGACAAGTGCAACGGTACCACGGTACACAAAAAGCTGTTTCGTGTATCCGCCTGTGGGTTGGTGTGATGGGGGACAGGGATGGCCCAAGACAGGGGGGCACGCGACGATGACGTTTGCGGTCCCTGGTCCCCGGCCTGCAACCTTGATTACAACTTTCCTGGGCATGTCGACCCCAAAAGAGGGGACAGGCACCGCTGCTGTTGCTGGTATTCCCTACTTTTCCAACCTCTCGCGGTCCGTATACACACTGAAGATTGCCCTGCTCACCTCGGGCGTGTCGTCGGATATGGCCAGATCAACGGCCCTGCAGAGCAACCTCGACGTCGATTATGTGATTAGCTACCGCTTTGCCAACACGGGTATGCTGGTCCGCCGGGCGGGGTGAATGAAGCAACGGGCTGACAGACACGCAGACAAGGCCAAGGCCGCCGCCCAGTTCGAGAAGCTTTGTGAGGCTCTCGCAAACACTGGCCTGCAGACCGAGGTCCGCAATGGCGACGCCAACTCGCTCCTGCTCTTCGTGCGGGTCGCTTCGGACGAGCATCTGTTTGGCGAAGTATACAGGTCCCGGTATGCACGGCTTGCACCTCTTCACAGCTCAATGGCTAACCCTGCGCAGCGTCCACGACTGGATCCACGGCGTCCGCTCTGCTGCCCCTGAAAAGGTCACGCGCGAATCGCTCCAAGCAGAGCCCCTCTACGAAGCAGAGCGGCTGCGTATAATATACCAGCTCATCACAAACCCTCCACAAGACGGTGGAGCTGGCATCACGCCCAAGGAGGGGGAATGGGAGAATGTCGAGTCGATATTTGCTCTGCACGACCATGCCTACAACAAGGACTGGATCAAGAAGTGGACGTCACAGTACCTCCTCACAACCGAGGATCTGGATGACATTCGCAACCGCCTGGGAGAGCAAATTGCCTTTTACTTTGCTTTCACCCAGTCCTACTTCACCTTTCTTGTCCCTGCTGCAGCATTTGGCGTCTTCTCGTGGCTCTTCCTCGGCTCTTTTTCGCCCATTTATGCGCTTACGAGCGCCTTGTGGTGCATCGTCTTTACCGAATACTGGAAGCACCAGGAAACCGATCTGAGCATTCGCTGGGGTGTCAAGGGTGTCTCCCGTATCGAGGTCAAGAAGAGGGATTTTGCACCTGAGAAGACCATCACCGACCCAGTAACTGGCGAGCGAGTTGGCTTCTTTCCTGCCTCAAAGCGCTTCCAGAGGCAGTTGTTACAGATACCTTTTGCAATCATTGCGGCTTGCTCACTTGGGGCTGTCATTGCGACCGCTTTCGGCATTGAGGTGTTCATCTCTGAGGTCTACGATGGACCACTGAAGAGCGTCTTGGTGAGTATTACGGCCATTTGACTGTCCATATTGTACTGATTATTCTAGATATTCATTCCTACTGGAATCCTGACTACCGTCAACCCCGTCCTCAATATCATTCTTACCAAAGCCGCTACGCGGCTCACTCAATTCGAGAATTACGAGACGCAGGGAGCATACGAGAAAGCCTTGACCCAGAAGATCTTCGTCATGAACTTCATCATGTCTTACCTCGGCATCTTCTTGACTGCATTCGTCTACGTTCCTTTTGGCAAAGTCATTGTGCCTTACCTTGACGTCTTTCATGTCGCTGTCAGGCCCTTTGCCCAGGATGAGAAGCAGCTTCATCTAGAAAGAGACAACTCCAACTGGAGCATCAACCCCGACCGTCTTCGCAAGCAAGTCATCTATTTCACCGTCACTGCTCAGGTGGTCAATCTCGGTATGGAGCTCATTGTTCCATACCTCAAGCGTCGCGGACTTGACAAGTACAAGGAGATGCAGTCGGAGCGAGCCGCTAAGAATGGCGGATCTGCACCTGCTGCTGCTGTCAATGACCCGCCTGAGGATGCTGCCTTCCTTGAGCGTGTCCGCAAAGAGGCCGAGCTTGAGGTCTACGATGTCACTGCTGATTTCCGTGAAATGGTTGTTCAGTTTGGGTACCTGTCTCTCTTCTCCGTTGTCTGGCCTCTTACAGCTGTATCGTTCCTCGTTAACGACTGGGTCGAACTTCGTGCCGATGCGATGAAGATTTGTGTTGAGATGCGCCGCCCTACTCCATGGCGTGCTGATACTATTGGTCCCTGGCTCGACTCGCTCTCCTTCCTCACCTGGCTCGGTAGCATCACCACGTCGGCTCTCGTCTACATGTTCTGGAATGATCACACTGGTCCCAGCGGTAGTCCCAGCAACATCCAACTCTGGGATCTCCTCCTTACAGTCTTTTTCGCCGAACACCTCTTCATTCTCTTCCGTTGGGGCGTCCGCATCATCATTTCCAAGCTGGACTCTCCCGGTCTCCAGAACGAACGCCGCGAGCGCTTCCTCGTCCGCAAGCAGTACTTTGAGGAGAACCTTAGCCAGCTACAGAGTATACCCAAGTTGACTGAAAAGGGCGCCGAGATTACGAGAAACAGTCTTGAGGAAGATGCGCGCTTGAGCAGTCTCAGCGAAACTACGCCTGAGTTGAGGTTTTGGCAGCGCCAGAGAAGCTGGAGGGAGAGTGCGGCCGTGGCCAAGGATCTCATTGAGAAGGCGCAGAACCAGACGGTGGTGGAGACGAAGAAGGAGCTGTAAATTGTGCGAGGGGGGAGTGCAAAGTGGAAAGTGGAAAGCGGAAAGCGGAGCGATTGATTGCGTGTTGGGATATTGGCCTTATTGAGCATTTCTAGCTTGGCGTTTTGCTGGACTCGTAGTTGGAGAAGAAGTCAAAGTAACCCCTTTAGTTTTCATTTGACCGATGCTATTGACACGTCTTTCTTCCTCGAATGCATGCATATAGCCTGCAGACTCAATGAGAAAAGACGACCCATTGCTGGTGATATTCCTGTAACAGTAGCAGTGTCAGTAGTATCAGGAGTTTGATAGGGGAGGAGGGGGAGGAAGGGGTTACAACATGGAGGAGGAATAATCATCATGGAAACATCTAACAGTACACAACAGAACGAGGGAAAGGAAGAGAGAAAGAGAAAGACGGCGAAGATTGGGATATGGAGAACCTATAATCCAAGATTTGTGAGTTGCAATTGTTTGTTTGTTTGTTTGCTCGTTCGTCCCGTGTCCATTCCGGGTCTGGAGGGAGAGGAAAAACTCGGTGAATCAACATGGAGGCCTTGTTCCGCATCGATCCAGGATGTCCGTCCATCTGTCCGTCCGGCCCGGAAGTACATGGGTATGTGAGTATCAGTCTATAATTCGCCAAAATGGAAAAATAAAACAAACGCCTAGAGCGTCTCGCGATGCTTTGGGGGGGTATCTCTCTTGTAACGAATACTTTCTGTGAAACAAGATGATGCCGTCCCAAACCTGTTTGGAGAAGCAAGGCGAGTAAACTGTGCCGAAGCATGCGTACTCGTCCACCCATACCGTGGTAAACACCTTACGCCGAGGGATCCTTGGTGTTTTGAACAAAGAGGCTTTTGCCTATCTTACAAGTAACCGCAGATTCCGATCCGTGTACAACAGTATCTTGTTGTTGAACTGCGCGTGGTTTATCTCCTTGATAGCTCTGGTCCAATCATCATCTCATCCTTGGGAATCGTGGATGAGTTGTTCAGATGTTCCAGTACTCGAATCCTGACAAGAGGAGCAGAAAAAATATAATCCATAAGAACTGCAACAGGTCTTACAACGTCTATGTCAAGCAGCGAAGTCTGGAATTCATGCCAGTTTGCTGTGGACCAAGCATATTGCACTCACTTAAGCGATCTTAAATGGGAGCGCTGCTTCAAGTAAGTTTCGTAGTTGCCACCTAGGACATATTCAAGAATGCTGGGTCCAATGTCTTGGCCGGCGCGGGATGCTTTCATCCGATCTTCAAGCGTAAGATAGGCTTCTTTGAAGGCATCAAAGGCGACTTGAACTCTGTGGGATCCGCCGGAGATGTTGTTTTCTGGGCGATTCGGGTCTTGAATAGAAAGACCATCATACTTTTCTGGGCGACCGTCGATTCCATGCATAGTCTAGAACATGTCAGCTTGATGAAAGCCACAAAAACTGTCTATATGTTGACAGCAGCAGGTAGATTGTTGCTCACCTTCTCAACAATAGCTGGCGGGTGCATCTGGATGCGTTTCCTAGACAGATCGAAGTCGCCATAATACTTGAGAAAGCCGAGGAAGCATGCACCGAGGTTTTCCGGTTTCGGCGAATGCTGGATATAGCTAACAATCAGGCATATGATACTGAAGCCTCCGATTCCACCTGTGTGCACCTCATTGAGTCCGTGCATTACGAGAAATTGCTTCATGAGTGCGACCATGTATATCATGTCAGGGTATTGCTGTTTCCATTCGGCAAATGTGGCCTGGGCTTGGACGCCACTCAAGTTCTCAAAGGAAATATCGACGTGAAGTTGGGTAAGTCTATCCTGGAACTTGATGATGGGAACCTTGGCGTGGATGACCTGTGTTCCGTGTGCATCCATGCCCATGTTTTTGAGCCGGTTGGATGCTTTGTACAGCAGGCTTTTGTTGGCGCCCCTTTGCGACATGTCGACAACAGGAGGTCCGCCATTGTAGAATCGATCAGAAACATACACCAGGTCCATGTCAGCTGTAGGCAAGTACAGTCCGGCGGGGAACGAGCCAAAACAGAGGATTCGGCCATTCTCTTGTGGAAACCTGCGTTGACCCAGTGCGGTGTTGACCCGATTAACAAGCTTGTTGCGTTGTTCATGCTCGAAAGGCTTGGGGGCAACAAAATCGTAAAAGTCGAGGATCTCGTTGTGAAGCCTAGCATGAGATTAGTACAGTGACTGCGCAGATGTAATACGAAAGCCTTGATGTAATGTCTCTGGGCACTATGCGAATCACAAAGTTCCCACGTAGACGCCCGGCGGTTTGAACGTGAGCAACTTACCACTTCTCCGGTTCACGAGCAAGGTGTGCATAGGCATCAGGTGTGGGCATCCAGGGCGTTGGATTGATATCGCGGACGGGTAGCCACTCATCAATTATACCCCCCACTGTGAGCTTGCGCTTGTGGTTAGCCTTGGGCCCACGCGGCGCGCGATGTTCGGCTACAGCTGCTTCCTGTCTATCAACAATACTGTCAATATGTGCGAACTCATTCAATGAGCCTTGTGTGGGTTTTGGGCCATCGTCGTCGTCGCCAAACGAAATGAAATCGTCGTTGGCAACGACCGAGTTGTGCCCGACAGCCTTCTCGGCTTCCTGGTTCTTCGCTTTCCGGATCAGCTTCACAAAGTCGACCCTCTTGCCCGTAGTTTCATCGGGAGGCGGCAAGGCAGTGTACGGGTCTGGGTTAGACCATTTGGGCACAGAGTCGCCGTCAGCACGCTTGACATGGGTCCTCGCAGCCTTTGGCTTGCTTTGCGCGGTCTCGCCGTCCTGCTCGCCATTTGCAGAGTCATCACTTTCGACCTCCATATCGGTTTCATCATCGCCGGACAGGTCATCGGGGTTTAGAAAGCGGTTGGAATCCGCCGCGACGCCTAGAGCGCGCTCAGGACTGCCGTTTTCACGATGCTGAAGCAGGGCGCGTTCGTGAGGCGCAGCCTTCTTGAAGCCGCCCCTACGGGGGCCGTTTGCATTGTTCCTGCCGTCATTGCGAGACGGGCCTCGCGACGCCCCGCCTCGACCGCGTCTTCTGGACGCTGCAGGGCCGGCCGGAGCTCGCGAATTGGAAGGGCCAGAGGGCGGGAAGCGGGGAGCGGGGTGGGTGGACTCGAAGGTGAATTGCGAGCGATTGCCGTTGCGCTCGCCGTCGGGTCGATAGCTGTCGCCATCTCTGCCCGTGAACGTCATGCGGTCTGCGAGCGGTGGCGGGCGGTCGCGCGCAGGGCGATATGAGTCGGCCATGGCGTGTCGCGTTTAGCGGATGCAGTCAGCGTTGGGCGCAACCGGTGCGTGCGTGAGTGCGGGCGTGTGGGGGCGTGGATGGTTGGGTCGGCGGGTGATGCGAAAGAGTCGAGAGGTCTTTGCGCGCGAAAGTTTTGTGTCAAGAAGGTGCTGGCGTAGGTAAGCCAAGCCTCTAGCGCGAACCGCTGGTGTTGTGGGGTGAGGGCAATTGGCCCCTCGTTTGCTCCACGCGTCACTTTGCATTGCCCATTCTTCGACACCAAGTGCGCCGTGGACATGTCGGGCACGCATGGGGGCTGCCGTGAGCCAGAGCATTGCTGTTCAAGACCAGGCCTGCGGACGCCCTCGAACTGTGCACGTGGCCGTTTTCAACAGGCCTGCATGAAAAATGCCCCGATTCGGTTCCCCTCCTGACAACGCATCATGATACAGTAGTTGAACATTATCAGACACAATATACATGTACACGCGAGAGCGGAGAGACACAGAAGCATGCTTGTGCCAGCCAAACTACACCCTCAACCACGGAGCGCCGTCGCCGTACCCATACCCAAGGAAGGCCCAAACGCTATGCCAAACGCCGCTCAAATGCATCAAGACACGCCTTTGTCGCTGTGTATAGAGAGCGAGCGAGGGAAAGAGAGCCGAGTGTCTGTCATGACAGCAGTCCTGACAGCCCGACCAAGGGCGCGGGCTCCTGGGACAGGTTTGTCGCTTCGTCTAGTTTAGATTGCATCTGCCTCAGTCTTCTTTGGTGAATTTTGGCTTGAAGCCCTCTCGTAGTTCCTTTTCTCGTTCTGCCACGCGCTGGTGCCCTTGCAGCTCTCTCTCGATCCTCTCTCTTGCTCTCAGGATCTTGCTCTGCAGGTAGAAGCTGCCGCCCTTCTTGGGGTCGTTCAGGTCGAACAGTCTTTTGAACCGCTCCGTGACGGCTTCCAGCTCAATGGTTCCCATCTTTCCTGGACCCACATTCAAGATCTGGCAGGCCTCGTCCATGGTGATGTTGGAAGATGAAAAGGCGCCGCCACCCTTGCCGCCCTGGTTGGCTGCTGCATACTTCTGCGAGGCGGCGGCTTGACGGTACGACTCGGACACGGCTCGACCGATTATGCGGGCGCCGGAGAAGACGACTTGTGTTATTATGCGGTGGGCCTGCGGGCGTGGTCAGTCGTGGGTGGTGCGAGGGAGTCGGCGTGCGCAGCGTACCATTGTGGACGGAAGCGAAGCGAGAAAGAGCGGAAGCGCAGAGGATCGTGTTGGTGCCGTGCTACGAGACACCAGGCTGCTGGCCGTATGCTTTCTGGTGGCAGACGCTGCAGCGATGCCAATGCGGGCTCCAAAATTTCTGGGTCGCCTTCCGCAGCTTCGGTCTGTTTCCGAGGCGGGCACGTGACGACACGGAGCCCAGCCAATCACGTCACGATCGCAAACTGCGGCGCCACGGCCAGCATCCCTCGTGCGCTCTGGCACGGGCGAGCGAGCAGAGGCGTCTTGCGCAGCTACAAGCCATGCAAGTACTTGCTGCTTGAACACGGCACATGTTTCCGACCTGCTGCATGCCTGCCTGCCGCGAAGGCGTGGGCGAGGCGAGCGCGTGGACATGAGGAGTAGGTCCTCGGGCCAAGGGCCTTCACATGCTCACAAACCCCCGCCCCAGACATGTCCGGTTGCAGCAGCACCAGCACCAGCACCAGCACCGGTGCCAGTGCCAGTGTCAGTGCCAGCACCGCCATATTAAGAGCTGACTGCATGCCGCCTTGGATTCGCGCCCGGCCTCCTGCTCTCTCTACTCTCTGCCCTCGTGCCCGCTGCCCTCTGCCCGCTGCCCGACCATCGCGAAGATCCGCCTCAACTGCGCAGCCGGGCGATGACGCACATCTCCATGCATGGCAGCACTAGGTCAGTGGCTTCCATGCTCCATGCCCGCAACCACCCTCCACGCAATCCGCGTCGCGCACCCACCATGCTCATGCCCTACTAGATACGCCCTGGATAGAGCACATGTCCACCCCTCATAGGCCCCTCAGCGATGCGTCGTCTCCGCCCTCTACCGGCGACGCCAACCCGCCCACGTATGCCTCCTTCTCTCCCGCCCATCTGGGCCAGACGACGCCCCAGACCAAGCGCCGCTCGGCCATACTCGTGCACCAGAAATCGCCACTGCTCGCTGCCACTCCGCCACAGATTACACGCGTGCTCGCATACTCGCATCCCTTCATCCTGCCGCTGAACAAGTTTGCCGGCCTGGTAACATGGACCACGGGCGATCCGTGGGAGAGCTTTCTCCTCGTCGCCGCCTTCTGGGCAGTCGTCATGTATGGCGACGCCGTCACGAGGTATGCGGGGCCCATTATCGTCGTGTCGGGCTTGATACTGGGCATGTACGCGCGCCGCTACTCTCCCTTGTCATCGACTGGCTGGACCGGCGAGAAGGGGCAGACGGAGCACCGGCGCGCTGAGTCGGACACCAACATCAAGCACCACAAGAGCCTCGAGGAGATTGTCGACAGCCTGAAGCTCTTCACTTCGCGCTGCAACATCCTCCTCGATCCCTTCTTGCGCCTGACCGACTTTCTTTCCACGCAAAGGACGGCAACGTCGGCCACCACACGCCCAGCACTTACCGTGCTCTTCATCCGCATCCTGTTTGTCCTGCCCATATGGATAGCCCTGACACTTCCGCCCCTGTACATCCTGACCACGAAACGGGTTGTATTGGCCGTAGGCACTATCATACTCAGCTGGCATTCGCGACCAGCGCGCGTCACGCGCACACTGCTCTGGAGATCAAGGACGGTCCGAAAGACGTGCGCCTTCCTTACAGGCCTGGATTTTGGCGACATCACCCCAGCCCAGCAGAACGGTGCGCCCCCCCTCCCGCCACGTAGGAAGAGTACGCAGCAAGTCGCAGCCTCGCTTGCCGCCAAACGCCGGCCCGAGTCGACAGGCGTACGCTTTACTTTCACCATCTACGAGAACCAGCGGAGATGGCTTGGCATTGGCTGGACCTCATCCATGCTGGCTTATGAGCGCGCTTCTTGGACAGACGAGCATCTCAATCCTGTTCCTCCCAAAGAAGAGTTTGAACTGCCTGAAGTCGAGGGCGGAGGGGCGAGATGGCGGTGGGTGCAGGGTAGTGAGTGGAAGGTTGAAGGCGGCGCAAAAGACTCCAAGGCAGACAAGGGCGTGTCAAAGGAGGAGTCGGGTTGGATCTACTATGATAACAAGGTATGCTGAACAGCCTGCTCCCACGGTACATCAATACTGACGTCGATAGTGGAGGGACGGTCGAAGAGGGCAAGATGGCTGGGGTCGCTATACCCGTCGCCGAAAGTGGTACCGCGATGCCGAACTCGTCGAGTCCACCCCTTCTACTGATACCACACCCATCCCGACCCCCAAGCCAGTACCAATCGACACTTCTGGCGACTCGGACGCCAATCACCTGCGGAAGCTCTCGTCCAATCTCAGCGTAACCTCCAGCACGGATCCGACGCTCGTCGAAGGCGACGGGCGCGAGTACGCCGCGTCGGTGACATCTGATACTGACGCGGCAAGCACCAAGAGCAGGAGAAGCTGGTTCAAGAAGAAGCGGACCAAGAGTACGAGCGGCAGCGTTAGTGGGGCTACGGTGATCAGCGATGCAGGTACCGGGGGAACGAGGAGAAGCGACGAGGACGACATGCAGAGTCCGCTTGACCGCATTGTCCGGGATGAGGAGTGGAGGCTTGGTGATGACATTAGGCAGCATCTAGATATTTGAGTTGATGTTGTCGTTGTTGTTTGACGTTCCTTTTGCCACGCATTGCACCTGGTTGTATCTGGCTGTCTGGGCATCCGAGCATTACCAAGTCTTTACTTGAGCAAGAGACATGGGGGAAAGCATGCCGGTGGCCCCCCCGAGTCATGGGCACCAAGTGCATTAACGCCATGCAGGTTTCCGTGCGTTACTCAGCAAATATCGCCTATCTTGACTTCATGACATGTGTGTATAGTATAGATGGATTGTGCCTGCAGCAGTCTTTTCCTCCCCACGCGTCTTTTTTTATTTTGGAGCCAGCAACAAAGTAACCCAAGCACCCCAGCCCTGAAATTGACCGGCATACAGCGTTTTGCAATTTTTATCCAAATTCAGGAACCGTGTGCAACCATATCCTTTTTTCTTGTTTAAGCATTACACGTCATATTACCGTGCAAGGGCCTAAAATAGCGAGAGATTTTCGTCAGCCCCCTCTACAGCCAGAAAGCGTAGGTGGTGTTCTCTTGCTTAGTAACCCAACCATTCACAGAGTCTCACGCATGCAAAAGACCTTGTCTCTTCTTTTTAGGTTAATAACCATTTTATTCATAGTGTAGCTAGCCTGTTTCCCCTCGAATCCAAGCACAGGAATGGCTTGCTTTTCACATGTCCATCTCTGAATCGGCCGACGGCGCGCATCCAGGCTCGGTTGATTTGGCAAAATATCTACCCCCTAGAACGAACAAAGACTAGGGGTGATGTCGAGGGCTTAGGGTGCAGCGAGATGCTTAGTGCTGCGAGATTTGTTAGGCTGTCTGTCTGTGTGGTAGACGGCGGAGGGAGACGTACAGAGCAAGATCCGCAGTTGCAGCTGGAGCAGTCACCAGCGCACTTGCAGGTTTGGCAGTTGCTGTGAAAGAGTCAGTAACCATGTCGATGCTGGACGTCTTTGCTATGATTGTCTGTGTCTGTGTCTGTGTCTGCGCGACGGGCTGGCAGGCGGGCGGCCATCACGGTACTGCCGCTAGTCCGCATACAGCGCACCCGTCGTGTGGGCAGAGGACAGGCGACAGGCTGGGCTTGGAGGGGGCAGACAAGACATACCAGGGAGACATGGTGTCGAGTAGTGATTGGTGGCGAGTTGGAGTGGTTGGAAAAGACTTGTGTGGTTGGATGGATGGGCAGTGTAGAAGCGTGATGAGGCCATCAGGGTGCTGAGGGGGCCATACTTATATAGACAGCTGGCGCTGCACGACCGACCCCCCCCCCCCCCTCCCCTCCCCCTCGTCCTCGCCCTGCCGCACTTTGATGCTCGATGCCGCCCTTCTCCTCGACCACTCCCGCCGTACCTTTGCTTGTCTGCCCACGCGGGGCCCCGTGTGAGTGGATACGCAGCCAGTCATGCGCGACTTGTGCCGTCACGGCCGTAGGGGGCCGGATCGAGTGACATATCGATGATACTCAGATTGGCTGCCCCGCCTCTTCCAGTGCCAGCCTGATAGCACGTCCCACGCCCAAGCACACGCCGTGTCTGCCGCCCAGCCATACAGACGACACGCAGACGACCGAGGCGGATATGTGGTTGGCCGGCGCCCATGGCTTTTCCGACGACTTGACGATGGATGCGGGCATGATGCACCAAGGTTTGTGTGGGAAGCCCATTCGTGGTATAGCCGCTTGAGGCGACGGGCCACTCGCACAAGTCGCGCAGGGCTCCGGCATACTCGATCTGGCTCGTTGCACCCACGCACACTCTCACACAGACACACACATGCGTCTTGCTAGGCGTCAGCTCCACTGCGTTCCTGCTCCAGGTCTTGGGGCTACAGGCAGGCCACTTGGATGTGCTAATCCACTCGGACATGGCCCTTTTTCGCGGCCAGGGCGCTCGTCAAGGTGGGACAAGAGGCTTAGCCGACTGTGCCTTATCGAGCGGTTACGTCTCAGCTGCTCAGTGGCCGTCTTGGTAGTCGAATGCTCGTGACACTGCATATGTAATCCCCGCTTTTGCTGAACTCGACAGCACTTGGCGAGGGGGCACTGCAAGACATAGTTGCAGACAAGATAGCAGAAGCAGAAGCCCATGACGATACTGGGGCGCTGAAGATCAAGATAGTGCACCCGCACACGGAGCAGCATGCCATTGTGAAGCGCTTCATTTTTTTTGCACGGCAGAACCCTCGGCCTTTTCCACCAGCATATCGTTCACCAGATGACGTTGATCGCCCACCCACCGTCCATGTACATGCCCGACTAGGCTAGCCCAAGCCCGCGTGACCTGATGACCATCGACGTGTGTGTGTGTGTGTCTCAATCAGCGTCTTCACATGCAAGCCAATCGCAGCGCGCACGAGTACGAAACACGTGGGGAGAGCTCCCATGCCCCATCCGGCCTAGGCTGGTGCCTCGTCTTACTACTACACCCGTCACATGGTTGCTCCACGCATACTAGCCATCCACCGTCTCTCAACAGCAGCATAGCATATCCCAATACTTGTCGCCACCCGCACAATCGCCGTTGCTAACCCACTTGGCCCAGCACATGCCATGGTTCCGACACGACCGCAGAGCACACTCGCCGCTTCGATGCGTTATCGCTTCGTGGCCCTCGTCGACTGACGTGGTAGTCTATGGCTGAATACAAATCCACGCGCCAAAGAAGAAGAAACGAAACAAGCAGCGAGCCCACAGCCGCGCCATGCACAATTGTCGACGCTCGTGACCTCGATATGTCATCCATGTACATTGTGCGTGGCTCTCCTGTCTGGGCGCTGCTAACAACATTAGTTGATTCAAGGCGCGTCCAAATGCTGCAATCCAACAGGTTACGCATGCTTTGGGGTTGTGTACACACGGACGATTCAACATCCTCAAGGCACCCGGCTTCCCACCTCTTCCTTCCCCAGCAATCCTACCTCATCTTTCATCATGTGCGCAGTGTCAAGGACAAGCTGGTCGTCGCCGTATTGGCCAATGATTTGCAAGCCTACCGTGTTTACATGTGTATCACATCTCCCTGGTGCCCCGGAATCTTCTCCTCGTCCTCGTCCTTCTTCTTCCCATTGCACGCCTGCAGGAATGCTAATGGCTGGCAGCCCAGCCAGACTAGCGGGGACGGTAAAGACGTCGTTCATGTACGAGTGAATCGAGTCCTGCGTCTCGACTTCGGACAAAGATGGCGCCATGGACGGTGATGTGGGACACAGTATGACATCAACTCCCTCTTTGTGCTCCCCCGAGGACGTATCCTTGTCAAACAGCGGGTTTGGCTTCGCAAACACTCTGTCAAAGTCTTGCTGCACCAGTCTGCGCACCTTTTGTGCCTGGACAAAGTAGTTGTCAATAGCGTCAGCGCTCAACGAAAAGGCACCAAGCAGGATCCTACGCTGAACTTCAGGCCCGAAGCCTTGGCCGCGAGTTTTGGCAAACAAGACGCTTTCGGGTGTCCCGTCAACGCCCTCAGCTCTGCTTCCGAAGCGGACGCCGTCATACTTGGCAAGGTTACTGGATGCCTCGGCGGGTGCAAGTACATAGTAAGCTGACAAGGCCTGTTGCGTTGTGGGTAGCCGAATGGGATGCAGGCTGTGTCCGCGATGCCATAGCTGCTTTAGTTGGCGAACCCATGCTTTGCGAACAACAGGCTGCAAAGTGTCAATGTTGTAGTCGAGCGGAATTCCGACCCTCAGACATTGTGAGTGGCCTTGTCTGCGCGTTCCTAGTCGGACGCGCGTTGAAGGGGGAATGCAAGTGGGATCTTGGGCATCGTGGACATTGAGCTTGTCTACATGGCGCGTTAGATATACTGCACACCTGAACCAGGAGCTTGCACTCACCAAAGACAGCCCTCACGTCGTCGACACACTGGCCAAATATGCCGACAGTGTCTAGAGAGTTGGCATAGGCAATGACACCCCACCTCGACAGCAGACCGTAGCTCGGCTTGAATCCAACAAGACCAGCGTACGAGGCCGGGAGCCTGACGGAGCCTCCAGTGTCGGTACCTAGCGCTCTGCTCGACTCAGTACATGCAGCAGAGCGCCTCGACCAGAAGGGGAGACTTACGCCCAGCACTGCGAAGTCGCAACTGAAACCGCACTTCCCCCAGAGCTGCCGCCCGCACTTGCCGCCTCGCCATTGTGTCTCTGCATCCTCACCGGACCGAAATACGAATTTGTCGAATGTGAGCCCATGCCAAATTCGTCCATATTGGTCTTGCCCACGACCACGGCACCCTGATCCCGGAGAAGCGTTACTACCGTGGCATCGTACGGGCTACTAAAATCGCGCAAAATGGCAGAAGACGCTGTAGTCTTGGGTGCGACGGTGCAGATGTTGTCTTTGATGGCGATGGCTTTGTCGCGCACGCCGGTGGCAGAAGGGCCTGAGTTGGAGGCATCATGGCGCGCGGCGAGAAGAGAGGGGCAGACGAGGGAGTTGAAGGCGTTGAGGTGCTTGTACTTTGATTGGTTCAGGAGATGGGCCTTGGCATACTGCGAGAGGGACATGGAGGCTGAATGTGTGTGTGTGTGTGTGTGTGGCACGGCTGTCGCGGACTGCCGGTCTGAAGTTGCAGCGCGACCAAAACTGCCGCGACGTCATGTGTCATGTGACGGCGCCCAGACGGCGCTTTCACGTCTCGTTTAGTACTTGCATACTACTACATATGTACGACTACATGTCATGGCGAAAAGCCTCCAAACTCATCACGCGTACATTCAAACCGCCGCGCCGTGCAATGAAGCAACCATCTGTCCCTATGATGAAAAATGAGTCGAACATGGAGCGTCTATGCGTCCGGTTTGACTTGGCTATGCGTCGTCTGAATGACAGCAGCAAACACGGCCATGGCAGGTTTTGTACGCCGTCCATTATGTCAGTGGGCATACCAAGGCCTTGGGCACATACATGCTCTGGCCCTCATCTGGATCTGCCCGTCTACCGTGTCAGCGTATTATTGTTCCATTAGAGTCTAGTGAGCTCGAGGCTATGTAAGACTTTGGCCGAGG